ATCTTTGAGGACTCTTTTGTGCTTTTGCTTGCATAATCTTGGTGATGCTTATGGTTGAGTGATCTTTATGAGTTCCTTGATGTTGTCATCTCATCTCCCATCCTCACTTTTCTTTATATCCTCATCTCTTTTCATTTGGTTTTCCTTTGGGTATTATGGTTGATGGTAATGGTTGGAGGATTCATTCGCCCATTTCATCCCATTTTTGTGCACTTTGTTTGATCTCTTTTGTATGCGTTCTTCTTCCTTTCCTTTTGCATCTTATCATATGCATGATTGAGGTTGAGATATGCTTGTGGAGGCTACTGCCCCACACTTTATTCCTCCCTCACTTTCATTCTAATTGTGCATTACATGTTTGCATTCTTGCATCTTTCTTATTTTATGCTTCCTTCTTCTTCTTCTTCTTTCTTCTTTGCCATGTTTCCTTAAGACCTCTAATCTCTTTTGTTCAAGAGATATTATGATATACCTTAGGTGTGAACCCATGTATGATAATATTAGGTAGCATTCCCTTTCATCCCAACCATAGGTGCACTTTGCATGAGAACATTAGGTTGAGTCTTAGTCTCCCTTTAGAGTTGTGTCTCTCTCTTCTCATCTTCAAATTCTCTTAAAACACTTAATAAAGGTTAATGAATGTTGTAATATACGAGCCTTAAGTACTTAGGAAATGGTGATTGGGGGGCATCCTCTCAATTGTCTAGACTATTTAGCGTATGTCCTTTGGACGATATGCGACGCATTCGCTCCTAAGTCATAGTCTTTAGTGCAACATGAATTACAAACAATAATTAATGCAATTCTTCTCTAAAAAACACAAAAACAAACTTCAAACTTTTTTATCCTTCGGGATCTTAATTTCGAAACTTTTTTCACAAAGAGAGTTTTGTTAACTCTTGGTTCTACCGTAAACAGGTAACGCCTAAGTCTCCAATGGTCGAGCTGCATACACTTAAATACTAGAACTAAGTGTTAACCCTACTCGGGTAAAACACCTGAACCAGCCTGTGGTCTTATTAACCCGAACTACGTTTGCTCTGATTTCTCGTACTAGACGAGGATACGTAGGCACAAGACGACGATGTCTTGGCAAGCAACCTTCCCCCACCTTTCACCCGTAGTTAGCCGAACTACGTTGACTCGGACTTTCCCATTGCATGAGGGAGTACGTAGGTACAGAGAGGCGATGCTCTGTCAAGTCTCTTTTCTTTTCTTTTTGTCCCTGAGACCTATAGCTAGATAGTAAAAACCCTTTTAGATAGATAACAAGCGTGGATCCCGTCGAGTACGACGGACGTGAGGGGTGCTAATACCTTCCCCTTGCGTAACCGACTCCCGAACCCGAGATATGGTTGCGATGACCTGTCTTCTCCCGTTTTCATTAGGTTTTCTATGATCATTTCCTTTCCCTCTCTTTGAGATAAATAAAGAACAATGGCGACTCTTCTGTCTCTGCCGGCCCTTTTTTCGCAGTAGCGACACTTGGGCAGCCTCTTTATTGAATCTTTCGACGTATGCTCGTCCCTGCCTAGAATGATGGCCTCGAGGGAGGCTTCAGTCTTTGGGTGTCGAAGAGAAGCCATGAAGTGTCTGGAGAAGAGTCTCCCCAGTTGCCTCCACGAGGTGATGGACTCGTCAGGGAGTCCTTTGTACCAGGTCTTTGCCCTCTTCTTGAGTGTGGTCGGGAATAACCTGCACTTGATGGCGCCTCGGACACCGCGATATTCGAGAAAAGCATCGATGTTTTTGATGTGCTCGTTAGGGTGGGTTGTTTCGTCGTATGTCCCTAGAGAAAGGGGTTTCTCTAGTCCCTTTGGGAGGCGCATGGCCACGATTTCCTAGGACAATGGGCCGCGAGGCTCGTCGTGGAGATAGGGTTTTGTGCTCGGTCCTCGGGTGACGAGCATTGAGATTCTACCTGTTGTCCTCTTTGGTTCTTCTTGGGTTGCGGGGACTTCTGGTTTCGAGGAGAAGTTTGTTCGCGTTTGCGGACGGTCAGGGTCTCATATTCCGAAGGCATTCGACGGTTCCTCTCGCGATGGGGAGGGGGACTCCGTTGTTGGAGTCGTTATTTCCTCGGTGGAGGGGATCTTGGACGACGGGATTCTTCTAATGCTTCAACCCTCGCGCTCTGGTTGAGGCTGAGGAGGTCGGTTTTATTGAGAACCTCGAGAAGGGCCGCCATGGCCGGGTCGGCGTTGGGTGGAACTAGAACCGGCAGGTACAACAGGATGAGTGGGGATTCGTCGTGGTCTGCACGAACAGGGGATGGAGAAGCTGTGGCTCAGTCCCTTCATCGAAGAACGTTGCCACCATGAGAGGTGGAGGCCCCTTCAGCATTAGTCTTGCTGACGGGGAGGAAGGCAGAGTTATGAGCATCAAGATTGTTGTCATGGGCAGCCATGATCAGAAAATTGAAGAATTGTTTTGGTTTTGTGCTCTTATGAAGAGAGAAAAGACGGGGATAACAAGTTTCCCATAGACGGCGCCAATGATCTTACCGAATGATCAGAATCTGGGATGGGCCAATAATAAAAGTTTGTGATGTTGGGTGTGAAAGAGGAGGAGAGAGTGTACCTGCAAGGCACTCTGATGCTAAAGTAAGAAAACGAGCAAGAGAGCGAGCAAGTACAGAATATGTGTGTTTCAAGGTCAGAAATTGGATACCTGACCCCCTCAAATGAAAGGGTTTTTATAATACCCCCAGCACTTGGCCGTTGGTCTCTATTTTTGGGGTGAGATAGCAGTGTCTCGAAGAATAGGTAACTTCCAGAAATAGCTGTTGGGACGGGCAGACGTGCTCATAACTAGTCGTTGGCGCGGGCAGGGACGTAGTCACGGGCATAAACATCTTGGCTGTTTCTGGATGGTGGAACTGTGCGTGACGGGAAGAGCTTGACGGGGAGAAGTGTTGTGACCAAGGGTAAATAGGTCAGTGTCCCCTTTTGGAGGGGCGGAAAGGTAAACTTTCCACCAAAGATGTTGGACTTAGGCAATTGGGATGTTCTGGCAGAAGAAGTGGGTTGGTCATGTTTTGCCATTGGGCCAGTCCAGAACAGACATCATGAATCGAATTGGTGAAAACCATTATAAAATGCATATTTTCTTATAATTGACTATGTAGGTGCATTGGTTAATTAGGTTTGAATTATGTGAAGTTGAATCGAGCTTAGTTATTACGGATAAACATGGAGGTGACGTTAGGAGATTAATCGGAACTATTATGAAAATAGGTTAGTAGGTTGTTAATGTTGGATTGAAATATGATTGTTAGGTGTGCATGGTGTATGTATTGGTTTATGTAGAATGATATGCATGATGTGTTTATAGATCTTGACCTTGCATTTGTGAATGTGCTAATGTGTTGAAATTTTTTCCTTATAGAGTTAAGGTCCACAAGGTGGAATGGCCAAGGCTCATTTGTGACACGTTCAAGGCAAATCATTAAAGACTTATAGGCACAAAGGGAGATCTATGAAGATGTTTAAGCAAGTAGGATAGTATAGTGAGTTGACTTTGGTCAACTATTTGACCAAAAAGTCAACAGTTGACCAAAAGTCATCTCTAGGAAACATGTGTTGTTTTGTGTAATTGTTTTTTGTAATTTGGATTCGCAATGTAAAATGGATGTTCTTAAAATGAAAAATGGCTTTTGAATGATGTAATGCAACTTGTGTTTCAAGAAATAATGTTTTTCCCTCCAAAATTGAGCATTTGAACTTGATTTTGTGTTGATCTTTGAAGAAATCTTGACCCTTGAAATTGAACATGAATCTTGAATCTTGTATGAACTGCAATGTCTTGTCTTGCATCTAGACCAAAAAACTAATGAACTAGCGTATTTGGATAGGCTCATAAAGAAATTAGTCAGTCAAAGTGAATCTCTCATAGTTGCCCAAGTAAACTTGTAATTCACAATCAAATCCAATGTTATGATGTAGTCTACATTATCTGCAAGTTTCAAAGATCAAAATTAAGGTTCCAATGCTTTGAATCCAAGAGAAGTGATTATCATCAATCAAATGTAGCACCAAGATACCTTAGTCTTGATCCTTAAGAACACAATACAAAGGGATAGTATTGAAATAATGTCAAAATTATAAACTCTCTTTTAAGAATAAAAATACCAAGTTAATTTTAAAAAAGTTCTCAATCATAATAACAAATATACAACTCGTATATGTTAAATTAAATATTTTATTCTTCAAAATCTACATAAAATTGGTTGATATATAACAAATATACATTTTTAAGAATAAATCTATGATAATAAACATAAAATTTTCAAAATCAACTAATTATATTCTCCAATAGACCTCATATATTTTGTTTAAGGGATAATTATAAATAATGTTCTAAACACTCTTTATATATATTTTTGTGATAGATGTTTTAATAAGAAATATCGATATACTTTTTTATGTATTTAACTCAGATTTTATTTCAATATTTAGGCCCGTTTGCTTGGTTTTTTTAATGTTTTTTTTTTTTTATAGTCTAACATTATTTTGTATGAAAAAAATTTACAAAGAAACTTCTAATAAAAGTTTTAAATGAAAATTTAATTTGAATAGTTATTCTTAAAATGTTATTTTAGATATTTTATTATTATATTAAAAAAAATAATATCAAAATTTAAAAAATCACTTAATTTTGAAGCTATTTCAAATAAATTTTTCTAAAAATCATTTTTGAGACAACTTTTTGAAAAAGTTGTAATTTCGACTATCTTTTAATCTTCAATAATGTATGTATATGTTATAGGATGTCAAAATTAGTATTTTATTTATTTTTAAATAAATATAAAAAATTGTAATATTTTAAAAAGTGATATTTAAAATCTATTTTTAACATTACAAAAACAAATCCATTTTTTTAAAGCTGAAATAAACATAACCATAGTATAATTGTCTGTTTTTTTATAAGCAATAATATATTAAAGATATTAAGAAAATCTCTGAACAACAAGAGTACAAACAGAGCCTAATACAAGACTGTTACATAAAATCAAACGGAAATTTAAACCAATCGTACAAACTATAATGATTACTATCCTGTCTACTTAATATCAACCAACTCCATGAGATAACTTTAATATCGGATACAATGTCCTCAACGTCAATAGAAGCATTATTGAAAATAATGTTATTTCTAGCCCTACATAAACTCCAGCAAGAAATGAACCAAATAGAGTTGATCTTGTTCTCTTTGCAGCGGCCCAGAAATCTCGATTCCCAGACCTTCGCATGAAGATTACAACAATCCTCCCAAGTGTTCTCTATATCCACCCACTCGCAAATCCTATTCCACACCAACGAAGATTTAGAGCACGAGAAGAAAAGATGTGAAACATCCTCATAGCTTGACGAACAGAACGCACAATCCGAGTTTTGGTAATAGTCAATCACCCTTCTTTTCATCAAATTGGATCTAGTAGGTAGCCTATAAAGCGCCATCCTCCAAATAAAAGTTTGGACTTTTTCCGGTAACACCGTTTTCCAAAGGATCTCCAGAAGAGCAGCACTATCATTTCCAATAATATAAAGCAGTATAGAAAGATCTAACCTTATACGAAAGAGAATCATGAAGAAGCCATTTCCAATTATCGACGACATTGATGTTGGCTGCCACCTGATCCAACAAAACACTACAATCTGTCCAATCTGGTTTGAAATTGGATCCCTCATCTATCAACGATTCTCTAACTTTCCAAACCCACTGACCATCCTCCTAAAAACCCATCTCGTTGACTGTCGAAACTTTCCTGGAACAGGCCTGAAACAACCGCTGAAACCTACTTTTAAGCGAAAGATCTCCAATCCAATTTGATTGCCAAAACTCCGTATTATGACCTTCTCCAATAGTGCAAGCCATAAACTTGCAGAAGTCCACATTGAAGTCGCAGGTTGAACTTGACATAATATCCTTCATCCAAAGAGAGTCTAATTTCAAGTTATCGACGTCAGCGAAAGTTTGCACCTTCATGCTCAAGTTACTGTATCTAAGATTCAACGTTTTTCTCCAAATTTCATTTCCACCGCTTAGAAATCTCCACATCCATTTTTCTATTAGAGCACAATTAAAGCGGCCTATGTTCTTAATGCCAAGGCCTCCGTATTCCTTTGGCTTACATATGGAGTTCCATGATATCCAAGAAATGAACTTTTTACTAGATTTCCCAGCCCAGAGGAAGCGCCTTTGGATTGCGATAATATCGTTCATGATTTTCTTGGGAGCCTTGAAGAAAGCCAAGTAATTAATAGGCAAGTTAGCTAAAACCGAGTTTATGAGGGATACTCTACCTCCCATTGACAGATTTCTCCCAGCCCAATTTGATAGTTTACTCCTCATACGAGATAGAACCGGATTCCAGAAAGAATGTCGACGATGATTTCCTCCTACCTGGAGACAGAGAAAACTGAACGGCAGCCTGTCAGATTTACAGTGCATAAATTCTTCAGCTCCAGCAAGGAAAATAGGGTCTACTCCTATCCCGTAAAGATAGCTTTTAGAAAAATTAATTTTCAAACCAGAAATTAATTCGAACACGCGCAGGACAGCCTTGAAAGCCCATATATTCATAACTGAACCATCTCCTATAAGAAGAGTGTCATCCTCAAACTGAAGCATGCTCTCAGAACTTTGATTATTGATCTTGAATTCTATTAACAAGTTACCGGCATCTGCGACTCTGACTAAACAAGATAAGCCCTCTGCAACTATGGTAAACAGAAACGGAGCCAAAGGATCCCCCTGCTTCAGACCCCTTCCAACCTTGAAATCCTTCGAAAAACTTCCGTTAATAAGAATCGAAACGTAACTCTTGAACACTGATCCTCTAATCAACTTTAACCAATTAGGACCAAAATCCATCTTGACAAGCATTTCATCTAGGTAAATCCAGTCGACACAGTCGTAGGCTTTAGCGAAGTTGACTTTGAAAAATAGACATTCCTTTTTAAATCTCTTAGCATAATCTGCTATTTCATTGGCCAGCAGAACCCCATCGTAAATTTGCCGACCCGAGATGAAAGCTTGGAGATACAGCTAATAAGAGAAATTGGCCTGAAATCTTCAAATTGTTGCGGATTGGAGATCTTCGGAACCAACGAAATGAAAGAGGACGCAAACATCTTAGGGAGAACTCCTATCTTGAAGAAATCCAAAATGCAATTCGAGAAGTCCTAACCTACTATTTCCCAACATGATTTTATGAATTTAAAATTAAATCCATCGACATCGGGGCGTTTGTTACCCTCACAACTGAAAACAACCTTTCTAACATCAGAGGTGCTAAAATCTGTTTCCAAAAACAGTTTGTCTTCCTCATCAAGACAGGCAGCCAAAACCAAATCACTTCTGAATTTTGTCGAGTTCGATTGCGTGTATTTGTTCTTAAAGAACTTCATCGCTTCATCCTTAATATTCTCAGGTTCTTTAAAAGTCCTGCCTCCCACTCTAACAGCTGAGACATGATTCAACCTATTCATGGATTTAAGGGAGTCATGAAAAAATTTGGTATTAAGATCCCCATTTTGGAGCCAACTAACCCAGGATTTTTGGGCTATCATGATTTCTTTGATCCGCATATTCTTCCATATTTCCTCCTGGTATCGCAGTTTCTCTCTGTCCAGATCAGTATATTGCAGATTAGACTCCTCATCTAATTCCAGTTCCAGCTTGTTGAACTTAGAGATATTATCCTCTATGTTCAAATCCAGCCAACCAAACACTTTGAGATTCCATATCCTAAGGTCTGATTTAAGAGATTGAAATTTCTTTGAAAGGATGCTGCAGAAAGAACCTGTAAATTTGTAAGAGCGCCACAATTTCATAACGAACGCGATGAAATCCTTGTGGTAGAACCAACAGTTAAAAGTCCTAAAAGGTTTTGGTCCCCAATTGATGAAATTGGACTTCAACCACACCGGTCGATGATCCGATATGTCTCTATCCCCCGCCACTTGATTCTTCAGAGTAAACAAAGATATAACCCTATCATCAACCAAAACTCTATCCATCCTACTTTTGCTCTTACTGTTAGAGTTGAACCAAGTGAAACGGCTTCCAAACACCGGTAGATCCACCAAATTCATTTCCTCAATGAAATCACAGAACTCCTTTATATCCCTGTTGTTATAACCACTTAGGCCCTTCCTTTCCTCCCTATTTTTCACCGCATTAAAATCCCATCCCACGATCCAACCAACTTCAGGGTAATTGTTCTTAATTTTAATCAAATCTCTCCAAAGCTTCCTCTTATCAGCTGATCCGCAAGGAGCGTAAACGTTGATCACCATCAACCTATGGTTATTCCAAACAAAGTTTAGACCTAAGAATCCTTTCCCATTAAAACTAAAACAAGCAGAGATTCTGACAGTATTCCACATGGTTAGAATTCCACCAGAGTTCCCAACGGAGTTCTGAGCTGACCAATCCAAATCAAAATTCCTCCACATGCTGAAAACTATACCATCCTCCATCTTGATAACCTTGGTTTCCTGAATAAGGAAAATATCGGCATTTCCTCTCTGAATAATTTGAGTTAATCTCCTTCTCTTGATGGAACTACAACAGCCTCTAACATTGAAAGAAATTAAATTCATGGATCAATTGTAGCTACATCCTTCTTGCCTAGACTAGCATCCTTATCTGCGTTATCTAAAATCCTCAGAGTTCGCCCAATAACTTCTTCATCTTTTCCCTGAATACCCAGAACTTTAAGAAAATCACCCAATTTAGATGGAACATCAACAATGGCCTTGCTGCATCTCGAGTTACCCCTCTCAACGTTAGTGTCAGTGATCGATTCGCAACATAATAGAGCTGAACTAGATTCAGAAGTTTCTTTAGACATCTTTTTCTTCATACTATCCTCCCTAGTTTTCCCTTTCGACACAGGTCTAAGGTTCTCCTTGGGATCCGTGAGTAGAAGAGTGGAAAAATAAGAGGGGGTGTATGGTATTTTAATGCAATTATAAACCTCATGAAGAGGTTTTTTCTTTTTAGCTTTACCTCTAACAGCAGGCCCAATAACTCCTCCTGAAGGCCCACTAATTGGATGAGGCAGGCCCAGGTCTACCACCAATTCCCCATCAAGACTGGGTACCTCGATAACTGCTTTAGACTGATTAAGTTCTAGGTTAGCCAGAAAGTTATATGGTTCAGTTCCTTCTGAACTAAAAAGAGCGGATGAAACCTTATGATTTTTCCTTCTTAACCCATTACCTTCCACATTAGACCCTAAGCTATCCCCAACAACTGATACAATGTCTGACACTGAGAAGTCACCATCTGCCTTTTGGACATCAGTATTGGGAGCTCTGGCTTCTGTCTCTGAGAACAAGGATTTGAGATCTTCACTTTCTTCCTCTTCAGGTATCTCCCACGCGCCCTCTGAGTCTGAAGGGTTTGAGGAGTCAAATTCATTTGAATCTATCACCTCATCTTCTTCACCAAACAAAGGGTCTCCACTCCCACACGAAAGGTCTTATGTGATTGAAATTAAAAAGGTCTGATTGTTCACTTCAATGTCAACCAAGAAATTCAGAATAATCTTGAGTCTTGTTTTAATAAGAAATCTCGCTATGTCCAATTTCTCTTTGTTCCTCGTCTTCTCATAACATTTGACAAACGATCCCAGACTAGAAAAAATCTGCCTGAAATTTTTCTCACTCCAGGCGACACAAGGTAGACCATAGCAATATACCAACACCATCATATCCCTGTCAATTTCCTCCATTTTCCACTTGCGGATGTCTCTGAACTAGATATCTAGCCATACTCTAGCTTCCTTGATAAAACCTTCTAAGTCTCCTCCCGATGTGTCTTCCATCAAACACAATGAAGCTCCCAATGGAGTAGCCTTAATGTTAAAGTAACCTTCTTCAAAAATTAACTTTTGAATGTTGAAAGCATTTCCATCCTTCATGACTTCACCCACTCTCATACGATTCAACCTCCTTGACCATTCATCATCCAGCTCAAGTTTTGTGCACTGACCTCCTACCTTGGCCCTATCAACAAACTTAGGGTAATCTCCTCTTACCACTTTGGCAAAGGACCTAACCTGGATATTAGGTTTCAAGAAGTTCCTGGTACAACCAGTTTGGATGTTACTCCTCAAATTTTCATAATCAGGAAGGTGCCTTTTGTTCTTCTCACTAACAGGAAGATGCCTTTTGTTCTCTTTACTAAACCTGGGTATATTGACGTAGATTTTTTTTCCTTCCAAGACAATGCTATCAAGGTTACAGGCCAGGATTCTTGGATAATGAACTTTCCGAAATTTGGCGAAACCGATTCTATTACCTTGCTTATCTCTCTTAGCAAAAATAAAAACTTCTGATATGACTCCATAGACCTTGAAGACCTCTAACAGATCTTTGGCATTCATGTTTTCAGAAAACTCAGTGACAAAAAATGAAGTTGTGATTTCACCAGAAGAAGCTCCTTTTCCTTTGTTCTTCTTCCAAACTTAAAAACTTCCGCTTCTAACCTTTCTACCGGAAACCCTGTCCCAACTCATGGTAACTCCACTGTCTCGATCCAAATAAAAATCAAAAAATTATCAAGGCCCATAAACTCGAAAGCTAGGAATTTAAGTCGAAGATAA